AAATTAATTAAGAATCAGCACAAATGGCACTATTTCAAGTAACTTGGATAATTTTTTATTGTTGTTTTCCGAATTATATGGATACAGAAATATATACTATTCTATAACGAAGAAGAATATGCTATAACTATTACACATACTGGACCTAGTAAACTTTTGCATTATGCAGTTTATACATGATTCGAAAAATAAGAGTTCATCATGTAGAAGATCTCATATTTTGTCATTTCATCTCTTTTTAAATTTGTAATTGGCTAAGTGAAAAAACGTGTAGCTATAACTTCTTTATTCATATGCGATAAACTTTTATTAAAGTTATCTATGTTTGTAGGATCCTCCAATTGCTTAAATTTATTTTGAAATCAAAACCAGGAAGACTAAATTAGCGGTTGGTATTCGGTTAAAGGCTGGATTTTTACTCTCTAAAATGAATCGCATTTAAAAAAAACTGTCTTAGATAGTCTTATTCTCAAAATAGTGCTATTTATCAAAACGAATTTTGATAAAAAAAAGTACTAAAAACTGAATATTTTTCCTTCTCTGCAAATCAAATTCAGCTATTGGAAAACTAGGGCATGAATCACATTTTTGTTAGATAATATGGTATTTTTAATACTTCCTATCTTTAAAAGGAACCACATTAATAATTATTTTTTAACAATTCATTTTAATCCTTTGCCGTCAGGTTAACCATGGGAGATTTTTGTAGTTTTCCTCTCCATGTAACGCAAATGAGGATTAGTTCGAAAATCCTCCACGAGGGCTACTTTCTCCCAATACTTAATCCAGGAATTTCCTTATCTTCTAGATTGGGTTAAAAATTGCAAGGCACGGAGTTTAACATTAGTAGTCGTTAACTCAAAAAATTGGGTCATCTGTTTAACGACGAAAAATTTGTTTTTAAATTTTTTATCTCTCATTTCTCATAGTCTTTTTTGTGATCTAAAAATCGAACATAATCAATTAGAAACTTGTTTTGCTAAATTCAGATAAATTTTAAAATATTTTACGTATTTTTATATAATTTGAGTTCAAGACAATGAAGGTTTTCAGTTTTTGCAGTACCTACTCTCTGCCAATAAATCTTTTTTTCCATTATATGCTTACTCAAATCATATGTCGTTCCAATCAAGTGTCTAGTCTCAGCAATTACAACAAGGAATAATCCTGATTAAATAATACTGTTCATTTAACAGCAATGAAGGCATAAATAAAGTTACTTGTAATTAAAATACGTGTAATTCAAAGTAATATCGTACAAATTGTATTTAAGGTGTGGTAGTGTTTGTCCTTCTGAAAAATATTTTTTTTACTAAGTTACATGCTCTTCCAACAAATATGAATTAAAATCAGTACAGAAACAATGTATAAACTCAGTAAAACCCTAAGGAATTGAAAGTATATTAGAAAACCTAGAAGTAAAAATTCAGTGTCCATGCTGGATATCCACTATTTTATAAAACAAATCAGAGATTTTTTCACTTCATTTTAAGAGATGGATAAAGTTTAAAAATATAAAACTAAAAATATTTTTCTTAATAATTTGAAGAAAGTCGATGAACAGAATGACAAAAAACGTTGTTTTTATTTGTGATCAAAATATTTCATATTCAGCAGCTGTCTTTAAAATAATGTTTCGTAATATTTACACACGTGCAACGAAAAAAAATCAGTATTTATAAATGATTATTGATTTTCTAACAGCTGATAAAACAAGTATCCTTAAATGTAATAACAGCAACAAAATAATAGATTTTTATTATTTTAATGTCTTTTAAAGCCACAAGGAATTCAATGATTAGTTAATATTCAATATTTCACAGTTATTCAAAGCAATATTGATTTTCTGAAAATTTTTAATTTCAAATATATTTTTAAACCACAAAGAAACACATATTTATTTGATCAGTTTGAAAATTTAATAACAACAACAAAAAATGAATAAAAATTACTTTTATAGGTTTATTTGTAACTACAAAAACTNGTTAACTAAATTGAATCAGTAATAAATCAAAATAGACCTTCGAAATGTTTTATTTGACAAAACATGAGACAAGATATGCATAGATCTAATAAATCTCCGGAATAAACTAAGTTTTTAATATGTTATTTAAGGAGAAAATATAAAAAAATATATTACTTACATTTAAAAGCAAACGGAGCAATACATTGTTAAAAAAAATAAACAGTAAATTCAGTGCCTACCATCATCTGTTACGGCTACTTTAAATGCATTCGGGTCCAGTTTATGCCATTTTTTGATACCATCATGCCCAGTGTGCCACTCAGTTTCTTTATAAATATCCATAACTTGAGGTATTTCTTCAGTCCTCATATTTCTTACATTAAACTCAATCTGTTCATTGTAAGTTTTTCCTCCGTTCTGTAACTTCAAATGTAAACTCATTATTTAAATAAATATTAATAATTTTTAAACAGAGTTAAATATGTTCAGAATAAATTTTGGCCGTTTCTGAAAATGCTATAAAATTATACGTTACAAAATTGACTAAAATTCTAGAACAAAAAATGTTTCTGCAATTTCGACTTCACGGAAAGAATAACATTATTTATAACTTAATAAGATTGATGTAATAAAAATTTTATTACTATTTCAGAGCAAATCAAACCATGCCTATTCATTATTTATGGTTGTTCCTCTAATATATTTCAATTTTTATACTTCTAGCTGAGTTTTACAATGAATTCTACGAAAATAAAAAATGGAAGTTTTCAAATCGATACATTATACATTATTATTAAAACATTATTTCAGTACACTGTTAAAATTTTCTCAGAGAAAAATTAAGTAACAATTTATTTAATCGTAATTTTACCATATTCAAGCAGAACAGTCAAACAACCGTTAATAAGATAGTATGCAGTTTATTAACGGTAAGAAAAACGATCTATTAAATTTATTAACTGCTATATTCTAATACGGTTAAACAACCAGAATTTTATAGTACTAACTAGGCCCAACTAACGAAGCTACTTAGTTCTTTGAAACTGAGTACATAGAATAGCCGCGAAGGCTAATCTGTCAATCTCATGGCCGACAGAACTTGGATACGAGTCCTAGTGTTGACACCACAATATTTCATCCATTATCTTCAGCACATGAATAGTTTCAAGTCTCCTATCACTCCCCAATTTGTAATCCTAGACAATTAGAATATGATACTCTCACTCACGCATAGATGGCAGCACCATAAAGCTGCTTAACACAAAAAAAAATCTAATATTTCCCTTCTCGTGCGATAAGTGGAACCATTAATTTAACCACATTCCACGGTTCATTTGATAAAGCATAACTCAACCACAACCGAAATCCAATGCCCATTACGTAACGAAACGCCTACCTCCAATCAGTCAAATTTCTTTTTTACAGTTTCAAAACCATACTAGTTGTAAGCAATTACAAAACCATAAAGGTAAAAAAGGTTCTTTCCCGTAAACTTATTGTTAATTGGATGGACAGACAGCTGTCGGTTATTTTACAGTATTTTTAGAATGAAAATTCTAATAGTGTATAAAATAAGATTTTAGACATTGGAATGCTTATTGACATATTTCATTTTGTGTTTTATTGGCCAATATATTAAAACAAATTAAAAAATGCGTTAAGTATTTAACTTAGTTTATATATTAGATTGCGTAAAAAATAATTAAAAACAAAAACAGAAAAAAATATAAAAAATTTTCAACAAAACATTTTAGATTGATCAAAATGCAACTAAAACTGTAAAATATTAGTTTGTCTGAATGGAGGATATAAAACATTTGAAAATCAATTGTTTTTATAATTTAGAAATATAATTTTTATGTTTATCTATGTTTTTGATAACGCAGATCATTTTCAGAAGCAAATAATGATCTTATTTCCCTGAAAATCTTAAAAATGAAATTAAATTTAATTAGATATAAAACAGTTTTAAATGGTGCTTTTTAAAATTTTTCAATCGGGCATGCAGAGTTATATATTCTATAAGTTAAAATGAGGAAATTCGAAGGCAATATTCAATATTAACACGCGGTCAATATAATTGATTACGAACAAAATGTCTCCCTGTAGTTTACTTTGCATGTATATATAAATATAATAGTGTGTTAAATAGCTTTAAAATGAGGAAGTTCGAAGTCAATATTCTGCATTAACGCAAGACCGGATATCTGACCTTAATATTGCCCCTTAATATTTACTTTGGACCGCGTATTATAATACCGGATACTAGTGTTCCCTACCAGATGAAATAAATATTGGCTTATTAGGGGATTACAAAATATGAACCTATACTTTATACTAGAACTAGGTAATTTGAACTAGGTAAGGATTAAAAAGTAGGGGATAAATCAATGCTTCTGATTTTTAAGAAACCAAGGTTATAGTTTCGGTTGAGGAAAAGTGAAACAACTTAAAGCATGAAAAAAATATGAAAGATATGATTGAACGATAAAACGTTGATTATTGAATTAAACATTATTTTTTTGTAGAATGAAAAAAATTAACGTGGTTATTTTTTATATAATTTTGTTAAATCTTTGAATTTTGCATAATTCTTTTCCTTGCTATAGTTAGAATTGCTCAAAAAATTTTCGTATTTGCTCATAGAAAATTTTAAAAACCAGAATGTCAAGTTTCAATGGTGGTTTCAAAATAAGGCACATTCCTACATTTTAAAAAAATGTCGTTTTAATGCGTTTTACTACTTTTTATGTGCAATAGGTAAGAAACTAACATATTTTCGATCATAACTTTAAAAAAAAGGGAACCGGATCAAAAAAAGTTTTAATTGGAAATCAAATTTAGCTGGAAATCAAATTTTTGTTCTGAAACATTTATCAACCTCGTAAAAAAAAAACAACCAAGTTTGCTGTGAGACCAGCATTGCAGTCAAAGAGGTATGTACCGAATATTTAATCCTTCACAAGTGCAATTTTTCTGCATCATATTCGGTTTATTTTGTTGACATACCCATTAACTTATTGTCTTGAATTCGTTCCACTAACTTTTCTGTTATCATTAGTTTGATATATTTTCACACAAAACTTTACTTGATTTGATTTACAATTTCTTATATTTTCCATACATACTATAAGAAAATGTGTTTACTTTTGTCCTCTCAAATTGTCATTTTGTAATTCTCAAATGTTAAAAATTTCTTCAAATGTTTTTTTTTTCTGCAGCCATTTTAATTTTGCGATAATTTATTTTTGCTACATTTTCACAATTCTTTACTGGGGCCTAGTAAACTTTTGCATTATGCAGTTTATACATGATTTGAAAAATAAGAGTTCATCACATAGAGGACCTCATATTTTTGTCATTTTATCTCTTTTTAAATTTGTAATGAGCTAAGTGAAGAAATGTGTAGCTATAACTTCTTTATTCATATGCGACAAACTTTTATTAAAGTTATCTATCTTTATAGGGCCTCCATTTATTTAAATTCATTTTGAGATCAAAACCAGGAAGACTAAATTAACGGTTGGTATTCGGGTAACTGTTAGGTTTTTACTCTCTAAACTGAATCTTGTGGGAAAAAACACGTTTTAGATAATTTTATTCTCAAAATAGTGCTATTTATCAAAACAAATTTTGATAAAAAAAGCACTAAAAACTTAATATTTTTTATTCTCTGCAAATCGAATTCAGCTCTTGGAGAACTAGGGCATGAATCACATTTTTGTTAGATAATATGGTATTTTTCATACTTTCCAGCTTTAAAAGGAATCACATTAATAATTGTTTTTTTTTTACAATTCATTTTGAATCCCTTTGCCGTTAGGTTTACCATGGGAGGTTTTTGTAGTTTTCCTCTCCATGTAACGCAAATGCGGATTAGTTCAAAAGTCCTCCACGAAGGCTACTTTCTCCCAATATTTAATCCAGGAGTTCCCTTATCTTCTAGATTAGGTTCAAAATTGCAAGGCACGGAGTTGAACATTAGTAGTCGTAAACTCAAAAAATTGGGTCACCTGTTTAACGACGAAAAATTTATTTTTTAATTTTTCCTTTCTTATAGTCTTTTTTGTGATCTAAAAATAGAACATAATCAATTAAAAACTTTTTTTGCTAAATTCTGATAAATTTTAAAATATTTTAAGAATTTTTATATAATTTGAGTCCAAGACGATGAAGTTTTTTAGTTTTTGCAGTACCTACTCTCAGCCAATAAAGCTTTTTCCCATTATATGCTTCTCAAATCATATGTCGTTCCAAGCATGTGTCTAGTCTCAGCAATTACAACAAGGAATAGTCCTGATTAAATAATACTGTTCATTTAACATCAATGAAGGCATAAATAAAATTACGTGTAATTAAAATACATGTAATTCAAATTTTTCCAATGCCCACCTGTGTTAACATCCGTCAATTCAGGCATTTACAGGGCAAATTTTGTTGACCTCTCTTTAAGGGGCATCATATTAGGTGGGCCAACGTCGCTCCCGCAGTCAGGATAGATAGTACAGAGAAGGAGAGAACATCCATGCCTTCCCCGGGATTAGAGACCAGAACCTTTCTGATGCAAGGATAGTTCCCCGACCTCTACACAGGCCGGTTGGCTTGTAATTCAAAGTAATTGGATTTAAAGTGTTGTAGTGTTTGCCCTTCTGAAAAATATTTTTTTTAAATAAATTTCATGTTCTTCCAGCAAATATTAATTAAAATCAGCCCAAAAACAATGTATAAACTCAATAAAACCCTAAGGAATTGAAAGTATATTAGAAAACCTAGAGGTAAAAATTCTGTATCCATGCTGGATATCCACTATTTTATAAAACTAATCAGAAATTTTTTCACTTCATTTTAAGAGATGGATGAAGTTTAAAAATATAAGACTAAAAATATTTTTCTTAATAATTTGAAGAAAGCCGATAAACAGAATGACAAAAAGCGTTGTTTTTATTTGTGATCAAAGTATTTCACATTTTGCAGCTGTCTTTAAAATAATATTTTGTAATATTTATACACGTGAAACGAAAAGAAATCAATATTTATAAACGATTATTGATTTTCTAACAGCTGATAAAACAAGTATCCTTAAAAGTAATGACAGCAACAAAATAATAGATTTTTACTATTTCAATATCTTTTAAAGCTTAATGAACTCCATAAGGAATTCAATGATCAATTCATATGTAATATTTCATAGTTATTCAAAGCGATATTGATTTTCTGAAAATTTTTAATTTCAAGTATATTTTTAAACCATAAAGAAACTTATAATTATTTGATCAGTTTGATAATTTAATAACAGCAACAAACAATGAATTCAGATTACTTTTATATTATAGATTTGTTTGTAACTACAAAAGCTTTTTTTAAAGTGGAAAAGTTTAAGGCGACGCTTGCTGTTCAAAATGAGAAAAATCCTTCCAAAAATCCATTATTTGATTTTTGAGATATCAAAAAACTTTCACTTTACTAAATAGTAGGTAACAAACCATGTTTAAATCAGAATTTTTCTTACCGATTTAAATTTGTTAAAAGATTTAAATTTGTAAGGGTCCATACATCAATATGCAGTTTTCGTTGACAAAGTTGCTTTTTCGCGCAATGGAGTTTTTCAATGTTCTCCGTACTTCAAAAAGTTCCTTGCATACCAGTTTTTTTTTTATTAAAAATTTTTTGATACTCTTCGATGTGTTTCTTCCATTCGAAATGCATTTGATTAAGTTAATACCTTAGTTCAATTTTAAAATAATTGAAAAACATAGTTGAATCGTAGTTTTGAAGAAATTTTTGATTACAAAAATTTTAATGCCTATTTACTTTAAATTTTTAAACGATTACCATACCCTTTTAAATTTATTTAAATGTCTATAAACAACATATTTTGGTAAAAATTTAATTCAAAAAATTTAAATTAGTTCACAAGGAACTTTTTAATTACCAAAAATTAAAATCTATACTTTTAGCAATAAATTTAAAAATAATTAATATTGTTATCTAAAACTTCGTACACAGATTTCTAATAATACTACCAATATTCTGTTAAAATTTGAAAATGATAGAATAAAAATTTCACTTTTTTTTTCTAACGTTCTGTGTCTTCTTAAATACTCAGAAAAAGTTACAGTTTAAAAATAATTTTTTATTAAATCTTTATTAAAATTTTAGATAAAAGTCAAAAAGCATAGTTTACGTTTTATTGAAATTTGTAATTAATTCACCAAATGCCATTTCATGACCCATTCAATAGATGGACTTAAAAGAGAAAAGAATTAATATTCTTTTTATTTTATTATTTTTTTAAATTTAATTATTTTTTCATATAGTATTAAAAAAATATGATAGTCGTTTACCGTTCTATACATTCTCATTAAAATTGCGCCCTCAGAAAAGTTTGATTGGCTGATAAAGATATTCGCAGTTGTCATTAGCTTAATGTTTGCAACAATAACGGTATTTGTCAGCTCATTATTCACTTATCCCTTATTAAAGAGATATTACCAATGATATTTAAAGATCATTCCTTCTAAATATCATTTTTCAGTTAAACTAAACAAAGTGGCATGACAGCCCAAAGAGGGCCAAGGCCTACTGTGTCTGTCTCAGCTTTATTGAACTTGGGTTCTGGGGTGCAGGAGCAGATATTCCGGTTGGGGTCAGTTGAACGTGGAACCCCCAGTGTTTAGTCTCCAGGCACGATTGGTACTCTTTTTATCGACCCACTGAAGAGATGAAATTATGACTCAACCTTATCCGGAAAGAGGATTGAACCCAAGACCTGTGGCATGAGAGTGCGAAGTGCTACCACTTAGTTAAATATTATAAAATTTTTGATTTTTATTATTAAATGTTTAAAATAATATTGAGTCTTCTTTTCTATGCAATAAAGTAAGTGCGTGATATTACCTTGTTATTCGACATTTTCACGATAAAAATATTTAGTTTCGGCATTACAATTAAATAGCATGCAAACTTAATTTATTTTTAATAAGTTATATTTAATTTACAGTACATTTAAGGTAAAAATATGTTCAACCTACAAATACAATTAAAATATTGAATGCAAGAGAATTATTTGAAATTCTAAAGCAATGTTACGGATTGACTTTTTGGACTATTGTTATATATGTTGTCTTAGGTTTAATAATAATTAAAAATTATTAAATAAGATTTTAATACACATGTTTGGGAATTAAATTATGATGGTAACATAGGGAACTATTAGGTTTTAATTTAAATAGCTAATAGTTTTATTCAATACCTTGTTAAAAAATTTGTACGCATAAAAAATAATATTTAATCAAAAGTAAATCTAGTGCCGTGGCTTAAAAAGATATTATACAAAATAATTTACAATTTGGGCTGTCGTATCACAAAATAAACTAAGTGCTTACATAAATTGGCAAAACAAATTACTACATAAAAAATGGATAAAATTCTTTAAACCTTCCTGGATCTGAATTATGTAAATTAGGGTTGTAATTTGTCTGGTGAGACTGTAAAAGAATGTGACCAACAAACTATGGTGGAAAAGTACTGTAAGTAGCTCACTTAACTTGATTTTTGAAATTCAAAGCAAGCATTGCCACTCGAAAAAAATTAAAAATAACACCATATATAACTTATATAACTTACGGGTCAAAGGGTCACGAAAATATTTTGATTAAAAAAAACTCATTCTGAGGTAAATATGAATCTTCTTCAGAACAAAAGCTAAAGAATAAGGAATAATAAATAATATGAATACAAGATTCAGTAGAAAATGATTGAAAATAGGAATATATTTATAAGGCGCCTTTTAACGTATGAAGATAGGTTGCAATTAAAATTAGTTTTGAACTTTTGCAATTATCTGATACATGCTGCCAAACTTTCAAGTAAATTAGGAAAAAACTTTAAAATTTATTAAGCTATCCATTTGCAAAAATGAGGCTGACTACTTTAAAAAATATAATTCCAAACAAGAAAGTAAAAGTAAAAATAAAAAAAATCTTCCTATTTTTTAGGTGATCAATATATATGCCAAGAAAACCAAATGCTTGGAACCTGTTATTTTGGTGACATAAATTTATCGAAAATTGAATTTTTTGTTTTAAAGCTATCTAATGACGCGTAACGTTAAGAATAATGTTAAATTAAGTATCAAAATTATTATTAATAATGTAACATACACTTAATCAAGCAAAAACTCTTTTTCAAATTTAATATACAATCAAAAAGTATTTTCAATTGTTAGGACATAACAGTATTGTATGATAGAAGGCATATAAATATTGGTTATACAAATAAATTTCAGCTTCAACTTACCATGGTACTTTAGTCTTAATTCTAGATTAAAATAAACGTTTTCTAACTAATAATGTAGAAAGCGGGAAGACGTAAGCTCAAAACTGTCTGATCTTCGTGAAATAAGTAAGTGTGTTGAACTTCTTCGTATTACAAAACATGACTTGTTCTGCCAAAATAAACATTTCTCTCCACCATTATCGTGACGACAATTTTTAATCATTAAGGATAGATACAAAATTATCTTGTTTGAAAATGATTAGGTGTTAAGCTATTTTCAGTTGAATAAAAGGAAAACTATTTCGTTAGGAATCTGAAATATAGCAATTTTAGAAACATCCAGCTAACTACTGAATGTTCTAGAACTTAAATAATAGATAAATGATAGAGTATAGATAACTGATTAACAAAAATATCCGAACATAGCGTCATTTAAAATAAAAAAGTAGATAAAAACTTTCCTCGATTACTTTTTAACTAAACGGAATTCTCAGAATGTTTTGAACTTATTTTAACCGTACAGTAATTATATTTTATTTTATAACTGGTGTTGAGTAGCCAACCCAACTCTTTACAAGCACTATGGCAGGGAGGGAGAACCAATGGCGCGCGTGCCATTTATGGCACGCGGCACAATATTTTGGGCACACCACCGATCACAAAGTTCACTATGAAGCATATTAAAAATTAAATTAAAATTCACAAAAAGCAAAAAAAAAACAATTATTAACAAAAGAACTAACAATTAATGCCACGAAAAAAATAATTAATAACCATAAAAAAACAATCTAACAATAAATGACTAGCAAAAAAAATATCTGATAAAATTAAACTAACATCTTACAACCTAATATAAGTTATTTGTCATCTAATCTGCAATACCAGAACAGTAACACTGATGTTACTTTAAATTGAATTACGCGTATAACTGAGACACTGCAAAATGTTTTTTTTTCCTTAGTAAATAAAAAGTTTTGAGTTGACACTGTTTTGTATTATTATTTTCCTAATAATCACGATGTCAAAATTATTTGACTGCACGTCTATGACCTCATTAAACAATTTCTTTAGAAAAAATGGCACGTTGGTGCATAATGGTTCGCCACCCCTGTACTAGGGAATACAATTTCGTGTCCAATGATATTATTGTGGCAATTTCGTCAGCATTTCTCACAAAGAATACCCATCAAAGTATCCCCCATCAATCTGAATCTGGATTTAGAGATATAACCTAGTGTCGACCAAGGGATGTAACCTTGGTTTTTCACATAGAAATCTCAGAGTTTGAAGCACTGCACCAAATAGCCACTTGACAATTAGTAGCTTCTTTAAAATTCAATATAAGACCCCAAAAAAAACTCTTTTTTTTCTTTATGTAGACATCATTACATAAATTCTTTACGCAAACAACATGATCAATTTCATCTAAATTGTTGGTATCAGACAACGATTTGTTTATCTCATTACAACGATTTGTTTATCTCATTACAACGATTTGTTTATCTCATTACAAATTATGTAAACAATGCTAACTTTATCAGTGAAAACATTTTTAACCCAAGGGAAGTAGACAAATGAAGGGGGGGGGGGCAAGGAAAGTTCACAAAGAACAGAAGTCACAAAACAAGCAAAACAAATATGCAAAACAAATATGCAAGAGAATGGCTAGTACTATACGTGACTTTTTTATCGCAAAAAAGAGAGAGTAATGTGCTTTCTGTTTGAAAACACAAAAAAATTTAATGTGTATGGCATAAGCCAGGAGCACCTAAAAGCGGATTACTGAAATGAATAAACTGTGTTTATGCCTTTTTCAATGCAACTGTGTTACAAGATATACCGGTAAACAAAATACTGTCAGTAATCTTTGTTATTATTTTAATTTTATTATTGCCATAGCGTTTTTATAAAACCTGTAAAATTAAAAAGGATGTTGTTTTCTTACAACACGTAATATTTTGGGCTCAAATTTCGAGAGGGCCCTTTTAGATTCGAGGGACCGATTTTGAGTTTTTGTGGGTTAGGAAATAATAGGTTATCTGTAAGGAGGTGATTAAATATACTAGGCACAAACTAGTATACTAGTAAATCATACTGCGACAAAGCTTTTTGAAAGTAATTGAATTTAAAATAGATTTTATGAAATCTATGTTTCAAAATTTGAAAGTGCAAAATTCAAATCTGTAAAATTATTGTTCCGATTTCTGCGAAACAAATTTCTTTTTAATTTAATGGAGACAAGGGAGGAAATTAAACATTGTTTCAACTTGCCTTGATTATTTTGTTAAAATATATTCTGGGAGAAACTTTCTACCCCCCCCCAAATATGCATAAATCATAAAAAATAGCATTATGTACACTGAGAATCTAAGAATGACTCATATATAGTGTGATGGTCTTCTATAGCATTATCATGATTACAGTTATAACTTGAGATAATTAAAACTAATATGCCAAANTGATCAATAAAAAAATATATCACAACTATGATAATATGTATAATTGACTATGTTTTAGTTGAATTTATGAACTGTTACAATTGACCCCGTAAGTGGGGACAATTGTAACAACTGCACGACTGTCAAAAATTGTTAATAACTAATATAATAACATTTAAAATAAGGTATATATTTATTTTCTAGTAGAGGATAGTCTACTTTATTCGTCTGTCAATTAATACTAATAATATATTGGATTTTTTGTTAGTTAAAAATAGTTAAGTAAAAAATGTTACAATTGATCCCACTCTCCCCTACCCTTCAAAGTATTCCCCATCGATCTGAAGCTGGATATTAGAGATATAACCTAGTATCGACCAAGGGATGTAACCCTGATTTTTCACCTAGAAATCTCAGTGCTTGAAGCACTGCACCAAATAGCCACTTGACAATTTGTAGCTTCTTTAAAATTTAATATAAGACCCAAAAAAATAGAAGCTCCTTTTTTTTTCTTTATGTAAACATCATTACATAAATTCTTTACGTAAACATCATGATCTATTTTATCTAAATTGTTGGTATCAGACTACGATTTGTTTATCTTATTACAAAGTAATCAAATTATGTAAACAATGCTAACTTTATCAGTGAAAAAACTTTTAACTAATGGGAAGAAGACAAATGGAAGGGGAGACAAGGAAACTTTTACAAAGGAAAGAAGTCACAAAACAAGTAAATCAAAATGCAAAACAAACATGCAAGAGAATGGCTAGAACTATACATGACTTTTTTATTTGCAAAAGAGGGAGTAATATGCTTTCTGTCTGAAAACACAAAAAAAAAAATTGTGTATGGCATGAGCAAGAAGCACCCAAAAACAGATTACTATAATGAATAAACTGTGTTATGACTTTTTCAATGTAACTGTGTTACAGGATATACCTGTAAACCAGATACTGCCAGTAATTTTTTATTATTATTTAAATTTCATTACTGTCATAGCGTTTTTATAAAGCCTGTAAAATTAAAATTAGTAAGGATGTTATTTTTTTCAGCACACGTAATCTGGGTTCAAATTTCGAGAGGACCCTTTTAGACTCGAGGGACCGATTTGGAGCTTTTGAGGGTTAGGAAATAATAAATTATTTGTAAGGAGGTGATTAAATATACTAGGCACAAACTTACAAATAATACTGCGACAAAGCTTTTTGAAAGTAATTGAATTTAAAATTGATTTTATGAAATCTATGTTTCAAAATTTGAAAATGCAGAATTCAAATCTTTAAAATTATTGTTCCGATTTCTGCGAAACAAATTTCTTCTTAATTTAATGGAGACAAGGGAGGAAATTACACATTGTTACAACTAGCTTTTATTATTTTGTTAAAATACATTTTAGGAGAAACTTTCTACCCCCCTCCCCAATACGCATAAATCATAAACAATAGCATTATGTACACTGAGAATATAAGAAGGACTCTTACATAGTGTGATGGTCTTATATAGGATTATCATGATTACAGTTATAGCTTTAGATAATCATAAAATAATATGCCGAAAATCATCAAACTTTTGAATATCATAATGAAAGTAATATTTTGAATATTATAATGAAAGTTTTTTCTAGAAAAAAATTTAAAGTATATCTGGCAAAAGAGAACATGATAGTTGACCAGTGAGATTAATTTCCGAACAATCAATGGTCAATTTATTGAAGACTCCTTTAATGATCAGATTTACCGTTTGTAGGAACAAATTATTCATTATACGACTTATGATTATACTCTTAATTCTAAACATAGTGCACCGTTTTCTCTATTTGGTATCTCATTGAATTTGATTTGACTTATTTGTTAAATACTAAACATTATGTTTTAGTTATAGCATAGGTTCCCAACCTTTTGCAAATCACAACCCACTTTGAAACTCAAAGCATTTTTAGCGCCCCCAACAAAATATAATAGTAAATAAATAATAAATTTTTGACCCAATTAAAGTCTTTCAATGTTTTTGTCACGATACATTTCTATAATAATGCCTTTGAACAATTGAAAATTTGCTTAATGATTGAATCATATTCATTGGTAATGCTTCTTATTATAATTTTGATCTAAATATAACTCTTGAAGAAATTTTAATTATTTGCATAAAAAAGGATTCAATATATCAATTTGTAATTCTGAATGAAATGCATAAAATCAGAGAGTTATATTTTATAAGTTAATAAGAAATCAGAAAATAATTTTATTTATGTTCAATTCCCGTAAATTGTACAACAAAGGAGAAAACGCATAAATTATATAAAAAAAATAAACTTTAAATATATTCAAAACTTCTTTATAAAACATGTTAAAAATGAGAGAAAACTGAATAATGATATAAATATGCTTTATAAAGTTCTCGAATAAGAACTTTCTGATATTAAAAAAAATTTATGTATAGTTCAATTAAAGAATATATCAGTTTTTTTTGCGGAAAAAGAGAGAAATTTCAAGGACATGAAATTTCAGATTTGTACGAAAATCCTAGAGCCGTACAACGTTAAAGTCACAAGATGGTTATTACTGTACTATTTAAATGTCATCATTAAAAAAATGGTTCTTTTTGAGACGAAAATTTTTAATAACGCAACAGCTTTAATAACAAACATTGGACGCTAAGTTAGAAATGTAAATAGTTTTTCAATTTCAAAAAAAAATTTTTTTTTTAATTTTAAAGTATACTTAAAAGCAATTTTCTATAAATTTTTATTTATAGAAATTTCAAATTGTAACTTTCATTTGGCTTACTTTATTTCGATAAGAAAAGTAATGATCTCAATATAAGGTACTCAAAATATTGTGAGTCATAAGATGTACTAATTTTATTTTCCAATTTCATTTCTTTAAATTACCAAATTTCATAATTATACATGCATAAATTATGTAGGTATAATCAAAATCATCCTAATCTTTATTATGTAGGATATGTTTAAGAATTCCACTTTCAGTAATATTGCTGTATGAGGAATTATTATAGAATTCGGTTTCATTATCATTTGTTTTAACCGTTGCATTCAAAACTTTAAATGCATCCGTAACTTTGTTTTCAACAACAGGCTTGTTGAAAAGTTTTCGATCCAGATTTTTCTTCACTCTTCTATCATAATCACTGTCAAGCATATAATCTTGATATGAATAATCGTCACGATCTTGGCTGTCCTCCTGAGATGGTTGTAAAAGTTTTTCATCATTATTATTATGTATTTTTGGTATATTTGCCTCCTTTTTTCCAACTATTAATCTGCTAAGCACTTTGCAGCTGTTGCAATTAACGTAAACAAAATACTGGCCAAACTTTGTAGATCTATATTTTTTATTATTATTAATCTTTGAATTATCCCCATCTACTTCACTTTGATCCGAACTTGACCCTGATCTTAAATCTGCCTTTGCTTGTGGGTGTGAACGGTGGTTATTCCCGGAAATAGAATCAGCATCCTCTTCTTCATCATCTTCGTCTTCATCATCACCTTCTTCTTCATCATCTTCATCATCATCATATTTATTATCTTCCTCATCCTCGAATGAATCCGAATGCGTATTGTAATCATCATCGCTAATGAGTTCATTAGGTTCATATTCATCGAAAGTATACGAATGCGTATCGTAATCATCATCGCCGTTGAATTCACTGGGCTCATCTTCATCCGATTCATCTGATTCCTCTGATTCTAGAGGTCTTGGGCGATGACGTAGAAGGAGATTCGGTGAGGGTGGCGTTTTGCTTGGAAGAGGATGTGGACTTGTGACGTGGACATATGAATCGACACGTGGTCTTCGTTGTGGATGGGGCCATGGTCTTGGGCCTGGATGGGGACTTGGTATTTGGCGGCGATGGTAACGTAGTCTTAGGTGCGACTTTTTTTTCGTATTTAAGCCTATACCATCAATATGGCGAACTGCAACCTGTTTTTTAATTCTAGATGAATTTAATTCAGCACCTTTATCAACATATGATGCATTTGATTCAATACCTTTATCAACATATGATGTATTTGATTCAGCACCTTCATCAACATATGCTGTATTTGATTCAACATCTTTATCGTCTCCCGATTGTTTTGCTTTTAATTCTTTTGGAATAGATTCGCCTCCAAATCTTGCAATACGGCATAGTATTCTATCAGGTTTTTCGTTATCGCATAATTCACCTGCAATTGCTTTCGCTCTTTTTGAATCAGACACCTGGAAAGTAAAATATGTTTCAGAAACAGTTTTTTAAAAAAAAACTTGACATTAATGTCAATAAATTTGCGAACATGATTATACACAGATATCTTCAATTTAATTGCAGATTAGAGCTCACCATTTTCAAATAAAAGCTTAAATGTAACAACTAAACTAAAAATAATAATAATAAATAAAATAAGTGAGTAATATGTAATAATAAATTTTTAGCTGTGAAAAGTCGTAATATAAATGAATATTTATTCAAAATTATTCCATATATTTATTCAAAAATTAAAATTAAGAGTCACATGTTTGAGAATATCTAGTTGCAACTTGCTTACACAATTTGCAGATATTTGGGGTTGATCATTTTTAAAGATTCTATTGCTTGAAGCAAGATAAAATTCTAAAAATTAAATGTATTCACTTCAAAATATTCCATTGAAAATAGGAATTTAAAATTTACAAGCGAAAATAGAAACATCGGTTAGTAAGTTAATGCATTTATAAAAAGTCATGTACACAGCTAAAAATTTATTTAGAACCATTTATTTTCGAAAACTCAAAATCAGCAGTCACAAAAATTAGAATAAGCAACTAAAGTACTGTTAAAGTGAAATTGATCGTTAGCAAGCGAAAATTCCACTTTAGATAGTTTTTTTTTCCGTCTTAAGCAAAACTAACGTTTATAGAAAATGCATCGAATAAGATTCCATCACATTAATATAATTAAATTTATCCTAAAAACTTGAAAATAAAGGGTCTAAGAAAGAAAAATAAATCCTCCCCCATTACTAATTTAAAATTTCTATTGCCATATTTTTTATATGAAAACTATTTTGTCATATATATGTTTAGCAGTGAGTAACATTTTAATATAGGATCGATTTTTGCTTTCTCACTATTTGCACTATGTTTTCCTATTGCAGATTTTATATTTAACATTATTTAATAATTGTCGTAAAGCAGAAGATACAATTTTGAATTTATGACTATCAATGTTTAATTCCGCAGCATTGCAATTTTTGAACCCAATACAGAAGACAAGATAACTCTTGGATCAAGTATTGGGGGAATTTTGCTTTCGCGGAGGATTTTTTTTATGGAACTAACCGCATTTGAGTGACATGGAGAGAAAAACCACGAACACGCACCCGTTCGCCGGACTGTAAGGGGACCCATGATGCTTCTACCACTGAGAACACCGATGCATCTTACTTCAGCACTGTTTTCAGTGCAAGCGAAGTGCGTAATTCGCAATCGAGTATCGACTAGCGATCACCGTACCCGGGACGCCTCATCGGGAGGCGAGTGCTCCTGAGCCACCATGTCTGTAACGCAAATGCCACTCCATCAAAAAGTCCTCCACGAAGACAAATTTCTCCCAATACTTATTGATCCAGGAGTTCCCATGTCTTCTGGATTGGGTTCAAAGTTGCAGGGCTACGTAACTGAATATTAGTAAACCCAGTAGTCGGTTGCTCAACGACGGTTATAAAATAAAATCCTTTAACATCTTTCAGAGCTCCATGGTAACTATCTGAGCTTTTAGCATCCCCATTTCTCAAAGTCTCAGATGAGACTCCCTCAAATACTAAATTTAACAGCCTAAATTAATGGCATAAAAAATTGAATGAATTTATCATAATTTATGTAAAAAAAAAGGAATAATTATCGTACATTCTAGGAATCATTTTAGCTTATAAAGGAAGTATGCATCTCGAAAATTCATATTAAAACTATGTTAAGCTTAGATTAAAAAGCATGGTTGTTATCCTTCAATGGGGTACAAATTAGCCTCCAGTTCTGCCTCTGGGGAAAAATTTGTCCCTCTGAAGTTTCAGTTCATCTACTTATAAACCAGCAAAAAGTTTTCCCAGATTCTGTGTTCGTGGCGTAATTGTTAGGCTACCTGCTATGTGCCAGTGAGGTTCAAAGTTTTTTTTTGTTTTCAATTCAAGAACAAAATGATTCCTCGTGCACCACTCAAAAAGTAAATACATACGTAAGTATGGTAGCAAACAATGTAGGATATTTAAACAGAAATACATACAAAAAGGGCAAGTAAAATTTAGAAAAGAAAAGTAATAATAATAGAAAAAATAATAAAAAATAAAAAACATTAACAAAAAGGATGAGAAAAAAAGAAAAATTAAAATAGAGTACAAAACAAAGTGATTTATAAATTTGCATTAAAAACTGAATCAATGAATTTCCAGAAAAGTTTGAAGATGGTTTTGTTTCCCACAAAAGTGCGAAGAGGGGGAGGAAAGTTAATATTGAGCGAATTTAAAGCAATTATTAAGTTTTTTCTATTTTTCTTAAAATGTGAGCATTACACAAGAAAGTGCTCAACATCTTGCGTTCCTCCAATATTACAATCACATAGATCACTGAAACTTAAGCCAAATCTTTTCAAATATGCCTTGAAGTTGCCATGTCCAGTGAGAAATTGTGTCACATGAAAGTTGCAGAAAAACTGCTGGTTTTTAAGTCTTTGATTAACAGATGGAAAGAAGAGTTTAGTCAGTGAAGCATTTGTAAAAGCTCGATATTGTTCGTTCCACACAGTTTAAACTTTACGCCTGGCTGAAAGTCTAAAGAAAGATTTTGGTGAACTTATATCACAAATGGAATCAAGATAAGTCGCTTGTTTCGCCTGAAAGTCAGCTCTTTCATTACCCAGAACACCGAAGTGGCCTCGGACATGTGAAAAGAACACAGATTTACCCTCGGATTGGAGATTTAGGGTTTAAAGATACAAATACAATAATAATGAAAATTGCAGAGAAAAGTATAAAATACATAATTCCAAGTTACAATAGCGCCAAGATGCTAATATCACAGCTGGAAGAGTATTTGAAGACAAATTTTGAAGATGAAATAAAACAAAATAAGTCATTACCTCACATGGAATTGAAAGAATTACCACAACAGAAAAACCGAAAGGCTGTAACAGGAAATAACATGCTAAATTATTTTAGCCTTTTTTAATTGCGTTTTTATGCATCTTTCAGTAGTGAAAATTGAGTTGAATAACTCTTGCGTAATTCTGTGTCATAAAGCAAATAACATTTGATTACTTTGATGAAACTTAGTTCCTGACCCTTTACATCAAATGAAAAATGGAGAAACATAAATACATTATAAATAAATCACTGTATGCAGAAAGAGCTTCATTCTTGCTAACTATTTTTCGAAAAATAAAGCTATAAAACAAGATAAAATAAATTTAAGGAGATACCTGATTAGAAAACAAATTTCTGCTTTTTCTGTCTGGACAAGAAAAATCTGGAAAAAACATGTTTCCGATCTAAGTTAGCATGTTAAATAATTAATTAATACTTACTTCGCCATGTATAATTGCAAAATAAATCAAAGAAAGCTTAAAAAGGCTACTTTTCATCTTAATTAAGAATTACTTTTAAAAAAGTTAAATCTTAAATTCGAAATTAACGCCTAAGACACCGTCTTACTCTATGTGGTTAGTTACAAAGAAGTTTAAAACAATAAATCTTATAGAATATCTTATACGGATGTTCGTTTTGCATATTTAAAAGTATCTGGAAAAAAAAATATTGATGACGTAACGATAAGGATTAATGACAATTTTTTTATGTTTTCATAACAACAGATAGAAATATTTAAAAGTATTACAGAAATTTTTGATTTAGTCATCGGTAACCAACAAGGATATGCTTATGCATCTTTTTTTTATGAAATGATTCAGTTTTATTTTAAATATACTTTGAGAGACAATATTTGTTGTTTATTTACTAAGCTATATTAAACTTTTATTTGATCACGAAATTGTGACGCATAAATTATTTATTTTTACAATTTATAATAATGTAATAAAGCATAAAATTATCATAATTGATTGATTCAATTTTATTAATTCGTTTTTTTAATAAAGATAAAAAAATAATTTAATTATAATTTTTTTAAAAAAATTACTTAGATAATATTTCCTGAATTAAAATAATTTATTGTGAAAGAGCAATTAAATTTTTCTTAATTTTCAAGCGCTGAAATGCTAGTTAGGGTTAAGGTTAGCTTTAAAATTTGATTTCATAAATTATTAAATTGCAACTTTCCGTGAAAAACTTTGAATTTTCCTGAGATAGATAAATAATTTATAAATTAGAAGTTTAATCTTTTAAAATGTAGCTGCGTGTTTCGCAACGACGTTAATAATGGTTCCGCAAAGGCGAGGATTCCTTTTTTAAAATAAAACTTCGAATTAGGTTAAAGGAATTTTTTATCTGCATCAACCAAATATTAGTTGGTGCTCTTTTCTAATATGTTTTAAAACAAAAATATTTACGTCTAAGAAATACTACAACAAAGTGGAATGCAATTCATTAACAAAAAAAAAAAAAGAAAAATCAGAAAAAAAATCGGATAATAGGCACATCAGTTAGATATAATTCCTGCACACGACTATGCTTTTTTGTCGTTTGCCTCGTGCTTCGGTAAACCATTGTGTGGGGATATTTGTGCATCCGCAAGACGCAATTTCAAGCAATTCCATAGAAGATTGAATGTTTGCTCCTGACTGGATCCCTTATTATCTTGTCAAACAAAGCTTGATCCTATAACCATGTTCGCCATGATCAGATCCAATATGGCTGCCGCATTTGCTGCTGAATGGAATCGAAATACTAGATCAACCAAAATAAAATATTTCATAGATCACCATTTCTTTCATCAATTAAATCAACATACCCAGCTATTTCTCATTCTTTAAATTTTTATATTCGGCAAATGCGAACCTTGTTGCTTAGGAACTCCGTTTCTTCTCTCCATTCCACGCTGATTCCTTTGGCCGTGCAATCGATTCCATAAAAGAGGAAGTGGCAATGAGGAACTTGGCTGACCAGCGGTAGACGAAGTGCCTTGAGGCGTTTCATTCCGCCATGTTCTACAGGACTTCACTACTCTGTATGCCTTCCTTCAGTAAAAGTCACACTGTCCAACGCAGACCATGATAGTCACATTCCATTTTTACCCAGGCTCATATAATGACCATTAGGATTAGGATGAGCGTTGTTTCCTGCAATTTAACTGTAGCTCTCCCCATTAAAAGGATGCAATACCGGGAAGTTTGTTTTTTAATTTTATTTTAAAATTGTTGTATACGACCTTATTTTTCAACATTTTACGATAAGGATAATTAGCTCATCACAATTAAACCATAAATAAGCTATCTTTTCTATTTAATAAATTATATTTAGTTTGACCATAAATGTTTTGACAAACAATGTTAAATGAGAATTATACCTCGAAGGAAACATTTCATGACAAATTCTGCTTCATCTCTATTAATATTTTGAAACTAAAAATTTATATTAGAGGGAGTTCTGGTAAACTTTGAATAAACCATGAAGTTTTCAATACTGAAAATTGTTTTCAAATTGTCAAAGTGTGCAAACAAATTATTTCATGATTGCTTCCCTAATACCCAATCCTGTTATAATTTTTTTGAAGTTTGATAGTAAGAAAACAATTTTTAGCAATTGAAACTTTAAGGTTTAGGTCCACTTGAACTCGCTTTTTCTACACTTTAAATTTTAAATTACTCATTGGGTGAATTGGATGAAAGTAAATTGACCATAAAGTGTTGCTCTCTCAGTAAGTCAGTCTTAATGCATTTCGCGTAGCTTACGTTTCTTTTGTCATATTCGATGGTTTTTTTCAATCTCATCGCACATGATTTCGATTTGAGATATGTTGTTGAATCAACTACTATATGAGTTCATCTGTCTAAAAGTTGCATCTTTCGAAAGGTATACCTTAAATATGTTTATTAATTTAATTCTGACGATATTGTATGTTAAAAAAAGAACTAGACACTATGCAGAAAGGTAATTTGGTGCATCTAGAGAAATAAAACTACATTTTATGTAGACAGTGATGTTGTTGGTTAGTATAAATGTTTTTTGGAAAAAAAATATATTGTTCATTTAATTAGTGAAGATAAATATATTGTCTATTTAATTAGTAAATGTGCATTAGGGTGGTGTGAAAAATAAAGCTTTATAGTAATTAGTTTTGAAATAGCGACAAAAAGAATACTTTAAAAATTTTTTTATCTACAAGCATATTTTATTTTAATATTAAGACATTACTCTAAAAAAAATTCCAATTGGATACTTAAAAATGACGCCTATGAAGGTAAAGGGATTTGTCGATTCAAAAGTCAATCAGGTTTGACATTCACGTGTGACGTCACTTACATGTATCAAATTAAATCTGATTTAAATCATATGGTTAGGCATTCTTAACTTCTTCTTGAGTTGCAAGTATATGCTTTATAGTGATATCTTTTTTCTAATTTCTATTTAAAACCACCAAAGCGAGAAAAAAACGTCAATCCAAATTTGATAGCAGCGAAACTAAATCTCAAAACCTTAGAGATATTATAAATTAAGTTATTATAAATTTAGATAGGGGAGGTTAAGAGGAACTAAAGAAATACCCTTTCTAAGACAAGCAGTTGAACGCCGCACACGGGCAGTAGACGTACAAAACACATAAAGTAAAAGAATACAGAATAAAAGCATGCTCTAAAATGTCAAAAGAAAGCCAAGCGAGATTTTAAAATTTTCTCCGATAAGTTTTTCTTGTTATGTTTTGAGTTTCAATAGTTTATTTTATTTCCATTTTATTTCCTTTCTTTTTTTCATGATTAAAGAGTTTTGTGTGTGTGCCTTTCTGAGTGAGTTACATCTCTTTTATAACTCGGGCGTGAGTTATAAAAGAGATGTAACTCACTCAGAAAGGCACACACATAAAATTCTTTAATCATGTTTGTGATAGAACCTTGAAATTGAGACAGCAGGTGCAAAATTGCAATTTTAAACAACAATCCTAAAAATCGTTCAAAACTTTTAATAAATCCTACAGGTAAGGAAGCTGCGAGAACGAAATTTTCTCATAGGTTTAATATCATGTATCACTAAATGACTATTTTTTCAGTTAATTAAGAGATAAAATTGGTAATTTGTTCTACTCACAGCTCTACTGAATCAAAGATCAATCTCTATTCAATCATTATACGCTCTTTAAGCATTTCTATATTTCTTCTATTATGTTAAGTAAGCACAAACAGACTAATGTGGGGTGATGTTGCCGAATTAGAAATTTAAAAAATTTCTGAAACCACGCGGTCATTGTTATTCTTTTAAAACGTATTTCTATAAATATAATTAACGTAATATAAATAGTTACACAAATAAAAAAAATTTATAAGTTGTGGTCACACTTTCATTTATCAAGAACTGATTTTGTTAAAAATTTGAGCATCCCTATTAAAAAAATGCAAATAATGTAAAACACTTTCCACTTTAGGAATCAACTTTTTTGTTCATCATAAAATTGATTTATAGATAATAAAAAGTTGGAAAAAATTTTTTTTTTTGAAATTAGCATTGAGTAGATGAGTATTTTTAATTGTGAGGAAAACAAGTCTAAAACTTGCGTAAATAGTTAAAGAATTTGCGTTTAATGTCATTTATATTCTATAACAATGTCAAAATAAAGTCATCAATGCATAGTATTAGGCTAAGCCCATACAAATGTTCTATAATTATTTGAATATATTTTTCACAATGCATATTCGTTGAAAACTATTTAGCTAATTTAATATTATTTTTAATGAGGCAGAAACAAATAAAATTTATCAAAATTACTCTTAATATTGATTTTTTATATAAATATGTGTTCAAAAAACAATTTAAAACTGATATTTAATGCCTAATAAAAAGATTGACTTACTTAAAATATCTTGGTCAATGTTATTTTTTATTTTTTGATTGATTCGGAGAAATTATTATTCTCAAATAACAAGTTGTATTAAATATTTTTTATGTATAAAATTGTTTATTTAGAACCCTCTGTTATGCATCCATTATTTTTAATATAGTTAAGCTTTTAACATTTAATTAACGTTGATAATTGAATGTAATTTCGTACGACTTGTAAAATGTGAAATAAGTTAACCCTTTTGGGGTAAAAAAAGGTGGTATAAAGTGGTCAAAACATTTTATGAAATGTTGCAGTACAATAACGATCTTAAAATTTTTTCGTTATGAATTAAGCTTTAAAATTACAATTAAAAATTTAAAAAAGAGAAATTTAAAATTATTTATGGTTTCTACGATATTTTTCAAACCGGCTGATTTTATATTTTGGGAAATTGTTTTGGGAAATATTTGAATAACCATGCATTTATATCTCTATGGCGTAACTCATTAACCATCATTCTAGTATAGATTTTATATTTTGGGAAATTGTTGAATATTTGAATAACCGTGTATTTATATCTCTATGGCGTAACTCATTAACCATCATTTTATCATCAAATAAATCAACAATTGCGAAAATTTCAAACACTTCAAAACGGTGAAAATTTAAAAAATATTGAAATTTACAGTACACAAAATCTTGTAATATGTAAAATTCTTTCATAATTAGAGTTACATCACCAGCTATTTGGTAAAA